GCATTTATCGTGGCTGAAGGGGCTGTGAGAGGCAGAGATGCTACTGGCCTCATTGTGCCTTTCTGTGAGTTAGAAAAGGCAACCCCTCCTACTGGACCTAACCTGGCAGGCTTGTTGGTGTCAGAAAGAGCACTTTCCTTCTGGCGGCAGCAATTCTAACCCAGGGTACATGGTTTTTTGAGCAGATTTGAGCCCCCACTTGTTTCCTTGGCCAGCAGTCTTATGCAGTGAATACGACCTAATCAAGAGTTCAAGGTAGCCTTATCAAGAAATCATAATCCAATCCCACCTGACAACTTGTCTGAGCAGCCAATCATGACCTTTTGTGAAGCCCTGTGGTGTGCCAGGCACAGTTTAATAACTCAAAAGGGTTTCAGTGGTCTAGGTACAGGACAGGTACCAAGCCTGCCAGTTTCAACTCTTTTCCAATTTGCCGGATATTCTGGCTGAATAAACTGGTGTGATGGTTTTTTAAAAATAAAGTTCTCACTAAGCCTCAAAGCCCAAGCAGCATTTGGATTTGGATTCCTCTTTCCATCTTTAGATTTACCTACCTCACGCTGAGAGCTAAACTGTGTTGGTAGCTCCTCTGCAGTAATTTCTCCCTGAAAATCACGCTATGTTTAAGGTGACTGTAAGCTTGGGGTCTTAGTTAAAGGGTCCCAGTGGGGGCTGAGGGTTTACTATCCAGTGCTCAGGGACATCTTGGCTGGTAGCATCTGCAGCAAAATAAAAGCCTGATTATTCTACATCGGCAAAGGTAGGATTCTAGTCTCAATGGGCTCATGTTGGTTTGCACACAGCCATTTGAAATAAAGGCAACTCTCCATGCATAGAATGCAAGTGCAGAGACAAGTGATCCAGAGCCCACTCCACATTTGTGATGACGCCAACCCAAATTAAACCAAAACTTGCGCTTCTCATCTTGGTCAACCAAATGGGATCCTATGTCAATGATGTGACATTGACTGCAAGGGGAATGGTGGTCTGTTCCTTAAGAAAGCACACAGGATATAAAGCCTCTTGTACCTCTAGCCCCAAAGTCACCCGCTTACAACCAAGAACTTATGAAAAATTACAAGATTCTTAGCAACTAATTCACTGAGGCAAACCTAAGAAAATTATTCTTTTAGCTATTAATTCTCCAGCAGAGTTAAAAGTATCAAAAGTCTTAAGAGTCTACAACACCCTGGTTTTTATTATACAGTAATCCTCTGAAATGTGGACCCATTAAAAGAAGACACAAATCCTCCTTGTCAGAGGATGGCAACCAGACACTCACAGCTAAGCACTTTTACAATGCCCAATAAAACCTGACATGATAAACCAAACATTTAAGTGACACTAGAAATCATTTTCAAGAGACATGGCAATAAACAGAATAATCCAGCTAGAAGTAACCTTCAAGTGAAATCACCTCCGCTTTCTGCCCTGGATCCAAGCCACCTGCTCACTACTCTCCATTCGTTCTCAAGAAAGGAAAAGTGGGCAGGGCAGAAGATGTTGGTATGAGATGGTTTTAGAACAGAACTTAGCCAGGCCAGTTTCTTTATCTGTACTCTCAAGGTCCTCTTTGGGAGTCCAGGGATGGGAGGGCCAACTTCACAGATCACTTCAGGTCTGCTGGGTCTCTATGCAATTTTGGGAGCTTCAACTTCTTTGGCTGAAGAAGAGTGAATTCGATAAAAGGCAATGATAATTCTCCCTCATGTGGGTCATCTTACCCCTTAAAGGAGCCCTCTCTTCATGCTTCTCATTTTGGTTTATAGCTTCTAAATGGACTTCCTCCATAAAATCCCTTTCCCTCAACTTTTAACTGGATGAACCTCCACTGCAGCTCTTAGCAGAGTACTTAGTGCAAGGAATGAGGAATCAGAACAACTCTGGGGCAAATTCTGGTCTGACCACTTTAGGAACCTCAGCTTCCCCATCTGGACTGCTCTGAGGACTGAGCAAGAGCATATTTGTAAAGGGCTTTGACTCAGGATTTAGAACAGCTCAATCAATGAAGTCACACAATTCTGCTGTATTTTATCTATTGAACTTTCCTGTTGAACTAAGTACACTTAAGTCTTCCTCATGACTGTTTTGCAGGCATCTGATGCACTGAAGGTGTTGGATGCACACAGCTTGCCAATGCAGGGCCTCAACCGGGAAAGGGACAACTTCTATAAATTCAAGGTTGATGGACTTGGTCTGTGTGCAGACCCTAATTTCAAACACCTCTACAAAGATAAACCTGCAAACTTCTGAAAGAGCCTTTTACGGCTAAACAATCTCACTACCAAGGTTCTGACATTTAACTTAAGAACCTTCAACTGTTACACGGGCTGGTGTGTTTTCTAAAACAACAACAAAATCCTATTTGTAGCTAATAAACCAGAGTTTTTACCGAATAACTGTTACATAAATGGATTGTTTTTTATTATATACACATGCTCAGTGAAAAAAATTGGGATGTGGAGGAGAGAGAAAAGCATTATAATCCCATCATCCATTTTTTCTGTAGTTTCCTCTAGACTTCTTTTCTAGGCATAAACTTTTTTTAACCTAGTTATAATTGTAATGATGTGCTGTAACTGTGCTAATTGCCCTTCCCCTACTTAACCTATTGTAACATAGACTTCGTGATTACTGATTTTTTAAAGTTTCTAATAAAGAAAGTAAGACTGGGATCTAGGAGAATTAATTTGTTGAACAAAGTAACATTGCAATCCATTCCACATTTAAAAGATGCAATGACAATTGCCTAATTATATTCTCTTACTTCATAAGCACTGCTTGGCAGGACTTCTTAAATTACTGAGCTTTTCTAGTTTTTTTGGGAAACGTTAAAATTTCATATAGTTGTTTTCTTGCTACAAAAATAATACATGCTCATTATATAACATTTAGGAAAATTTCAGTAAGTAATAATTTAACATTAATATTTATTGAACATAGCTATGTGCCAGGCACTGTTCTAAATGCTTTAGATTAACTCATTTATTCCTCTCAATACATAAGTGAAGCACAGAAATATCAAGTACTTGCCACACTCTACACACCTAGAAGCATGAGCCACGAATCCATCACTATGCTATGATCTAGGAGTTAAAAGATCAGTAATTTATTCAATCACGTCCTCCATTACTTCAGAGTATAATGTCACAGCCAAAAACAATTCGTAACAACACTGTACCCTTTACAGTTATTTAAAAATATTATAAAGCACCATCTTGGCATCTCTGTGGAACAATTAGTAAAATGAGAAATCATGAGCTATGATTCTAATCAGTCTAATCCTATGCACCCAATGTGCATTAAAGAAAAACAACAGGTGCTTAAAAGGGTTTGTTTTTAAAGATGGAAACTTTTTAAAAATGTTGCAAATGATTCAATAATATGATGAGCAGATTTCCTGAATTAAGTGAACATCCATTCCCATAAAAGTTTGTAATCAATCATAAAGCTTTTACAAAACATTTATGAAACACTCCCAGTCAATCCTAAACAGTGCTTACGGCTTATCTGTTGGCATTGGACATCAGTACATGAAAAAATAAATGCTGAATATCCTTGGGTCACATGTTTTCATACTTTAATTAAAAATGATACTTGGTTAAAAACAAATACTTCTGTTCTGGTTTAATTACCTACCCAGGGCTAACAAACATAACTATTTGAAATATAAATTCTCTTTAAATTTAAATATAATTAATGAAATGTTTCTGACTGCATGGTTTTAAAAAAATGTTAGAGAACATTTAGTGCCCTGACTATAACTTCAACACTAAAAACATATTTAAACTGTTAATCCATTAGGGTTTTATGGGGCTAGTTAATTATTCATATATACTGCGGTAGAAACATAACACACGTACACAAATATTTTACATATATCTATATATCTAGCTCTATCTATAAAATTAGGTGCCTTCTTTGGAATTTAAAATTGCACTATGTAGTGTTTCCAGAACATTCAAGCTGCCATCCCTAATTTATCCAATAGCCTCCTGCTAGAGTAAGCTAGATAAATAAAATATCCAATAATTTTGAACATTAACTGTGTGTCAGGTGCAGTCAAAATGTTTTCCAAAGATTGTTTTATATTTTTATAAAAACCTAAGAGAAGAGACCACTATCATCCCCATTTTACAAATCAGACTGAAAGATATGAAATAACTAATACTCTCATCCAGATCTAACACCAAAACCCATACCACAAACCACTGTTAAACTGCTTTTATTCCAAATGAGGCCTCAGAAAAATTTTATTTGAATTCTACAATTTACCTCCCTAGATTAAGCTTAAGCTGACGTATAAAACTTAAAAAACAAAACAAAAAACGTACACCCAATAGAAATCCAAAACAATACAGAACATAATTCTAAATTTGAATTTTTTCTTCTCTCAGAGAGAGGTTTTCAAATAAAACAAAACTAATCCGGTATTAGCTAACCATTTCCTTAAGTGTTTTCACTATGAAGCTCTTTACTGTCACAACTTGACAAACCACCCATGTCCTTCAACAAGTGACAACACAAGCCCAACACTGCAAATCTCATTGTTAGAGGGCTAGTTTTTTAAATGAGACTAGAGCTTGCTACACAGAATATTTTTATAATATTAATCTTTTCAGTCTCTTGTGAAACACAGATTCACATTTTTATGTGTTTCTACACAAATCTACATGCTGTCCGGATTCAACGCCAAGTGAATTATCTGCTTTAAACATAATAAAAACACAACTGCATTTTTATAAGGTCTAAAGGTGCAGTGATTAGATTGTTCAGCATTTTTCTGGACTTAAACCAGGGTTTTATGGGGCTAGTTAACTGTTACAAACTCAAAGGGACTAAACATTTGATCCAAAAGTCCTTTTATCACTGGTCTCTATAAAACGTTTGATTACTTTTAAAAATTATGTGGTGTGTGAATCCTATGTTTGTTTATTGGAAAAGGGACTTGCTAATACAATTTGGTTTAAAAAAAAAGAAAAGAAAAGAAAACAGCTTACTTGAATGTGATTGTTTTGGCAATAGTCGAACCCAACCCCGTCTCTCTAGCGCTGCCTGCCTTCCTGGTTCTCCTAGGTGAGGGCCGCCATCCTGTAATAATTTACACCGAGAGCTGAGAAGCACCAGCAATGGTGCAGTACGGTGACTAGAGTTTTTAAAAAAAAAAAAAAAGGCGAACTCCGCTTTTAAAGTAGAGAACACGGATACAGACCCTGTCTCTGACAACATCCGAAAGATTCATTATAGGCAACCTATTCAGACGAAGCTACAACAGCCCCAGGAAATACAGTGTCCGAAAAGACAGCGGGGGGTTGGGGGGGAGGAGGGCTGGAAATAACTGATGGGAAGGAAGTTAATCATGTGAAGTTTCTCTAACTCCAAGTCTAATAAATCCCCGATTTGTTTCCAGTCGAAGCAGCCATTAAACGTGCCCTGACACGTGCGCGCAGGGGACCTCCCTTCTGTCTGGTTTTTGGCCATTTCCTTCTCTATGCACTTGTTTGTATACATACAACCACGCCTGGACAGGGATGACCATAAGATGACAACCCTCGTCAATTTCTTCATTTAGATTTCCAGTTGCCCAAAGTTTCACTCCACCGCAGTGATTTAACCAGAATCACCAGTTCCTTTTCGAAAGTTATGAATGGTTTAAGTTTACAAGACACAATCATAAGTCGAGGGACAAGTAAGTCAGTGTGGGGGGACTTTAGTGACAACGTTCGAAATTGTGCTTAATGGATATGCCGTAGTTAAAATTAAAAAAAAAAAAAAAAAAAGGAAGTCACACTGATCCACGAAGTAAGTGTCCCTGCAATACTTTCTAAAAATCACGCAAGACTCAGGTCTGAGTCTTGCCCTCCCCATATATCAATCACCTGCAAATAGTCTCCGAATCACTCCCCGTTCGGAGGTCCTTAGCGGGATGTGTGCTCTGGGTCATCCTCTCTGTGACACGCTATTTCCCCGCTCGACCCCAACGCCCAGCGGGTTCCAGGGCTGTGCACCCGCGGACCAGTCCCAAGAAAGAGCGGAAGAAAGTAGGGAAGAGGGGCGTGGCGCCCGGGAAGCCCCCAGAGGCCCTCCCTCCTGGAAAACCTGGCACCACCTCAAAGACGGGGCTGGGGACACGGGACCTTCCCAGCACCAACCGGGCGCGGGACGCACGACCACGAGCCGGCAAAGAAGCGGGGACATCTTTCCCCGTAAGGGCCGCGTCTCCAGCCCCAGCCCCAGCCCCGCGGGTCCCTGGCTTCCCGCGCCCTCCGACCGCCGCCCGTCGGGGCGAGCGCGCCGTCTGTCCCGGGTCTCGGCGTCCCTTGCCCTCCCTCCCCCATCCCCTTCTCTGGAGCCTGGAGCCTCGACCAGTCCCCGCCCTCCGGGACACTCTTCCCTTCTTCCTTCCTTCCTCCGTTCCCTCCCTCCATCTCGCTTCCCAGCACCGGGAACTCGGAGGCGGCCCCCGAACTGGCCAGCCGACGCCGGGCGCTGCGTCTCTGTCCTTGCGGGGATCCCACTCACCTCCTGCGCCTGCCCCTCGGTGCTCACTAGTCCGCCCGTGCGCTGCCCCGCCGCCGCCGCCGGGGACTCGGTCTCTAAGGGCTCCTGGAGACGGCTCCGACCTCTCCTCCTCCACCTCCTACTCCTCTGGCTGCTCGGGCGCCGGCTCCGCCTCGCTCGAGGTAGGCGGGGCGGAAAGCCCGACGGGCGGGGCGGTGGCAGTGGCGGCCCAGACTCCTTCCTCCGGCTCTGGCCCTCCCTCTGGCCCAGACGCCCTGGCTGTTCCCGGGTTCGGTTGCCGAACCCGTGTCGCTTGCGTCCAGGCCGGCAGAGAGGGGAGGTCAGGAGCTGTGAAGCTCCGCAAAGGTCTGGCCGCCTTGGCCATCTCCATTTTTCCTTCCCCGAATCCACGGAGGCCCTGGAGTTCAAGGACTCTCGGACACCCCACTTCACGACCCTCCAGGGGGCTGCTATGACTCCTCGGAAGTTTCTTCGCGTGCAAACGCCTCGACAACCCTTATGCCAACAGTCCCCTGGGCCGCGAATAAGCGCGCTGCCAACCCCCTTACACCAAAGTTAGGCTCTGCTCCAGGAATTTCTTAAGAAAACAGTCACAGTAAAATTTAAAGGGCCCTGGGGCCACGGAGAGGTTTTGTTTCCCAGAAAGTGGAGATATAATTGCAGATTGTTGAATTTGAAGTACATTCGCCTATTATGAGCTTCCCTCCATCTCTCCCCCATGAAATTTGTGTTTCCGAATGCCCAGTACCTGGTAGAGTTCTGTGTAATGAATTAATTGGATTTGGTTGGTCTTTTCTGGATGGATTCAGGGTCAGGTAGTTTGAAGAGCCACTTCTGTTTCCACAGACTTCAAACTATACATACGAGCATTCAAGGAACATTCATTGAGCACCTGCTATGTGCCACACATTGCACCAAAGGTGATGAGAAAGACACCAAGATGAATCAGGGGGCAGACCTCTCAAAAAGCCCAGAAAGAATCCAGAAAGAGTCAAAAAGATGGATGTTCAGAAGTCTTACCACTTAGCTGACATATTCCTAAATATCTGCTTTCTTGTTTTACAAGGTGGAGATAAAAGAGAAGGTGAGGCCAAAGTAGGTCACTTAGAACCAGTGTGGGCAGAGTCCATACTTGAATTCTAAGAGCACTGATGAGGGAGGGATATTTGTGTGTCGAGCTTCACCAACTGAGAAATGAGAGAAGCTAAGAGCCAAGGACTACAGTAAGGACATATCTTCACTCTTACTTTCTTCCTGACCCTTATTCAAGTAGCACTGTGGGTGAAATCATTTGACCAGGCAGCAGAAGGAATGCTGCAGGTAGAGGAAGTCTGTGCTTGGATGCTTTGCCCCAGGAGTGTGGTCATAGTAACGTGTGGATGGCAGTACTTGTCCAGTGCAAGCCACAGCCTGCCAGGGGAGCCCTTTATTTCCTGCTCTGTACAGTGGTAGGAAATGCTTGATTGATTTACAGACACTGACAGTTCCAAGGATACACCCTATGCAAAACAGCGTGATGCCAATAGGGACTGAGACTGTCACACACTGGAGTTTGTATCTTTTGGCCACAGACTATAGAATCAACTCCTACAGCCCTACCAGTAATTTCCATTTTGAGGGCACTTTATAATTTAGTAAATGCTTTAATGTACACAGTCTCATTCGTCTCTTGCAAAAACCTAAAAAAAGGAGGCATCCAAAACTTAAACGGCTTTCCGAAGTTTTTCTAATTCAGTGCTATTCAAAATGTGGTTCATAGAATAGTGACAGTCTGGGATCTGTTACCCATCTCTAACGCAATAAGCATAGAAATTAAAGATGAGCACGTAGAAACTTTTATAGCAATTTGACTGAGTAATTTTCTGCCTGTTGAATCTAATAACTAAAAATATGGCCTTGTGTTTTGTATGTCTTTTATTTCATTTTTCTCATTATTCATTTAGTATCTATCGTGTCGTAGAAAAGCATCAGCCTGCAACAGATTGAAAATGAAATGCCATAGATAGTTTGAGAAGCACTGATCTGGTTAATAACAAGGCAGGAATAATAAAAGCTAACACTTCCACGGCAAATGTTACTTTAAATACTTTGCATATATTACTTCTTTTAATCCTCCTAACAGCCCTAGCAGGTATGCACAGGGAAGTTAAGTCATGTAGTCCAAAAGTGGCAGAGCCAGAATTTAAACTCAAAGCATCTGGCTCCAGACTTTGTGCTTTTACTGATGGCCCTGGATCCAGTGTTCTTTCTACTCTGCTGATATGTACAAACTTCAGCCATTCACATTTCTTCATTATATCACTGTACCTCCTATATGCTTTTTCAATTTATATTTTTGATTGACTTACTTTTGTTATTTCTTTTGTTTATTAACCTTGCTATTAGTAATTCCACCCCTGAAATCTTGAGTTTGATAGGCAAGCATCTATATCTTACCCTAGATCACATTAAAAAACATACCTAACTCCAGCAAAGCTGTCAGTGATCTGCCCTATCCGCTCCAACCCTTTTCCAGTTTTGTGTACATTGGCTTCAAGTGTGCTTTCATTCCCACCATGGGCACCTGCATCTCCTTATCAGAGTACCACTCTCAGCTGCAGGATTTGCTTTGCCTGTGCATGGGGCAGCTGAAAGTGCCTAGGAATTAATGTGCTTCTGCCCCTGGCCCAGCCTTTAAACAGTGACTGAAGAGTATGAAGATATAAATATTCCAGTTCTTTTGCCCCCAGTTGGGATAACTTCAGGGTAGATCTCTTCTATAGAGCTCCCTATGAGATTGGACCAAATTCTCTCTCTTCCCCTATGGAACTTTTTGATATCACATTGTTTTTAAAATTATTATTATATAGAGAGGTAATATTGGTTAACAACATATAAGTTTCAGGTGTACGACATTATAATTCAATGACTGTGTACACCATAGCATGCTCACCACCAAATGTCTAGTTACCATCCAGCACAGTATACTTGACCCCCTTTGTCCATCCTTGCTTGCCTTTCTTATCTTTCCAGGTCCCACTTTCCACTCCTCTATCAGTGTTTTTTAGGAACACTTCCTAATCAGGCCCAACTATGTGATTTGCAGAGCCCAATAAAAGATTTAAGTTTATAAATTATTAAGAATTTCAAGAGAGTTAAATCAAGTATGGGGCCCTGTGCAGTTGCACAGGTGTGTGTGCGACTCTACTGCTTGCATATTACTGAGGCTGGCCTGGATGCTAATGAGTCATTTTTACTTGAGTCTTCATATCAGGGTCTGCTTCTGGGGAATCCCAAGTTAAGATAACAACTACTAAAGTAAAATCCAGCCCATCCGAGAACTACCAAATCATCTTGTGTAACACACTGGTGTTCAGCATCCCACAATTTGGGAGGCTGCTCCTAGTAGGAGAATGGGTTTTATCAAGTTGTGTGTAAAAAGATCTTTATCCATAGAAAGAGGTATAGCAGTTGAGAATGGTTTAGTTTAACAAGATGACGACACAGGAAACCTGGGTTTAGTCCCAATTCTGAGTGATGTGCACAAGGTATGGATTTGGGTGGAATCTTAGTTTGAGTTACTTGGAAACACACCTTGCATGAAGAAACCTTATTGGTGAGTGGTTAAAAAGATATATCTGAAAGGTAGTGAGACTGTCAGCATTGGGTAGAGGGAGAAGCTGCCACTCAACATGGTTACAGCTGGGCCTATAGCCCAGGGGGGAACTGAAGTTGGTGGCTCTTCAGAGTTGGACTAAATTGAGTTCAATGGACTGGGCTTTTGTATCTCCATATCCTGCATTCCTGGGAAGAGATTTAGCCATGGGCAAAGCAGATCCACTGACGGACACAGCTGTGAGTGGTCAGGAACCAATATTCCCAGCAGCCCCCGAATAAATGTATCAACCCTGAACAGAGGAGAATCTCCCCAGTATATACTTTAGATGGGTTCTCTCTGAAAGCTCACTTGAGCTTACAGTCAACCATAACGGGAATACTCAACCCAGCCCAGGAGGGCCTGACTCCTTGGTCTTTCATGTAGCACCTGGGCAATTCTTGGCTGCACTTTACCTTCCTCATACTATGAGCCTATTTAATTTTCTATTGTTTACTTTCCTGAGACGTCTTTTAAACATTTTTCCTTCCTTTTTTTGTGTGTCTGGCCCAACTGTTTTCTTACCCTGCCCCCCACATGGCACTCAAGAAAAAACAAACCAATAAAGCAGTACCCTGCGAAAGAGTGGCACTGTAATAAAGTAAAATAGTATGCATTATGAGATGAAGCCTTTGGCATAAAGTCCTGACTTTGCCACTAAAAAGCTCTGTGAATTTGGGGCAGTCACTTAGCCTTACCAGGCCTTTGCTTGTCTTTAAAATAAAGAGATTGTAAGAGAATGGTCCCTAAGTCTGAATTCTATGGAAATTACAGTTTTTAAAAAGATGTTTTTTCCTGCTGTATAATCCCTTATGACGCAAGCAAGAGAAATGGTTTTATAATTCAGGACGACTGATTTTTAAAATTAGTTGCAGTTTATATGTGAACCTCTATGCCTTGAACTTCTATTCAACATTCAATAAGAATACCCTAATTAAAGCATCGGTAAGAAAGAGATGCATGAAATAACATGAAGAACAGGACAAATCAGTCAAACTGTCAGTGACCAGGTCGCCACAGATTTCAGAGCAATTTTTCTGGGATATCAGCTTTGCTTCTTAAGGATTTTCGTTGATCTTGTTGCACATGGCCACACTCTTTGTCTGAACCTGCCCTAGAAGTTATGGAGAGCTATCTTCTTTTCAATAGGTTACCTGGGTAAGTGTTTTACAAACTGGTTTTTCTGCTCAGTCAGAGGCTGCCATATTCCCATGTAAAAGTTAGGTCAGGAAGAAGCACCCACATCTTGGAAATTCCGAAGTAACTTGTTGAAACATGTATCACCGCAGGCAGGAGCTATGACCAAGGCTGTAGCTGCAGATCAGTAGGCAATTTGACACAGTTCCATCTTCAAATAGGTGGGAGCCTTCAGAGGCCTGGGTGGGAGTGGCCCAAAATTGAGTCACTAACTCACGTTAGTTAATTACTAACTTAATGTGAGCTTTCTAGGGCCCTCTAATTCTAGAGGGCTGATGTCCCCAGACACTGTTATCTAAAGATCAAATATATGGCTCTAGAGTTAGTAAA